CTGCACTGCAGCCGGCTGGATGACCGCGCCCTCACTGGGGCCAGCGACTCCCGAGTCATCCTCTGGAAGGTTGTGGGCCCCAAGGGCAGGGAAGAGTCGGGGTGGAGTGGAGGCCCCATCTGACCCCAGTCTGTCCCCAGGATGTGACCGAGGCGGAGCAGGCAGAGGAGCAGGCCAGGCAAGAGGAGCAGGTGGTCAGGTAAGGCCAGGGCAGTGGCGCCCCTCCCGGCATCAGCCCTGCTCTGTGCTGTAGGGAAACTGAGGCTGAGCACCAGGCTTGCTGCCTGCTGACTCCGATGGCTCTGCCAGCGACCCTCAGTGGCTTCTCCTCCCCTCCCCGCAGGCAGCAAGAGCTGGACAACCTGCTGCATGAGAAGCGGTACCTGCGGGCACTGGGCCTGGCCATCTCCCTGGATCGGCCCCACACCGTGCTGACTGTCATCCAGGGTCAGTGCTCACCCAGGGGCAAGAGGCTGGGTCTACGGACCACTGGGCTCTGCTTTCCCCAGCTCAGCCTTCCCTCCTCCCACAGCCATCCGGAGAGACCCTGAGGCCTGCGAGAAGCTGGAAGCCACCATGCTCCGACTGCGGCGAGACCAGAAAGGTTGGGGGCCGGTCAGGGTGGGTGACCCGGCGGGCAAGGGCCAGTCATGGCAGATTGGCTGGGCAAGAGGATGAGGGTCCTGTTGCCCACAGAGGCCCTGCTGCGCTTCTGTGTCACGTGGAACACCAACTCGCGGCACTGCCACGAAGCCCAGGCCGTGCTGGGTGTGCTCCTGCGGCGCGAGGCCCCCGAGGAGCTGCTGGCCTACGAAGGCGTGCGGGCAGCGCTTGAGGCCCTGCTGCCCTACACTGGTACGTGGGCATAGCCTGGGGTTGGGGGATCCTGGGGGGCGTGTGGACCACCCCCCGACCTCCTCCTTGTCCAACCCCAGAGCGGCACTTTCAGCGGCTCAGCAGGACACTCCAGGCCGCCGCTTTCTTGGACTTCCTGTGGCACAACATGAAGCTGCCTGTGCTGGCGGCCACCCCCACACCCTGGGAAACCCATAAAGAAGTGCTCCCCTAGCCGGTCCGGTCTCTCTCCAGTCCCTCCTGAACCCCTGGAAAACCCATAGAGGCCGCTCTCCTAGCCGGCCCTGTCTCTCTGGACTCCAGTCCAGCCCCTACCCTGGCCAACACCCTACCTAGCCAGCCAGAAGGGCACTGGAGCTGATGGTCTCGGCCTTACCAAGCCCATCCCGCACCCTGCCCTGGCAGAGATCCAGCCCGCGGCTCCGCACGCTTAGACGGTGGGGGTCATTCAGAACAAGCTTTACTCAGAGGAACAGCAAATACCCGCCTCCCGTCCTGCTGGCCAGGGAGATCCGCCCTCCCCCCTCCTCCTCAGCCCTGGGATGGCGCGGTCCATCCCCGCATTGGGATCCTGGCGCTCACCACTCCGTAGTAGGGTGCGGCACAGGCATAGCTATGGTCCACGCACCCTCGAGACGGGCCCTGGCGCCCTGGGCGCCGCTCCAGGGCCCTGCGTGTGACGGTGCAGCAGCGGCTCTGAATGGCGCCCGGCGAAGGTCGGGTGGGCACGGTGGGGGGAGGGGCGGTGGCCTGGGAGGCTTCCCGGGACCCCCGGGCCTCACTGGCCGGGTCGTCTCCTCCACGGAACCGCGTCCCGCTCAGGAGTGCGCCCAGCCCTTCCGGTCGCAACAGCACCGCGGGGAGGAGGCCCTCCCGGTCGCCATACCTGCGAGGGGCGGGGTGTGGTTAGGGCCCCGCCGGCCTCGGCTAGCCTCCCCCGCCCACGCCCGCTCGCGTACCTGCACAGCCACCAGCCGCGGTCTGACTTTTCCAACACGCGCACGCGCGCCCCCGCGGGCACGGACAGCTCATCTGCGCGGTTGCTCTCGTAGGCGCGGGAAGCACAGAACTGGGGACCTGGGAGTGGGTGCTTGGAGTCACCGCGGGGCAGCATAGGCCAAGGCCCACCCGCACCCTTCAAATTCTCCTTGCTTGAGTCTGCTGACCGCGGGGCCGCTCTAAAACCGGTTCCGGGCTTCCTCTAGGTGCGGAGACCAAGCACGGACTCCTGGGCCGCCCTGCCCGCGATGCTTCTGACCCAGTCTTGCCACACGGTCAAGCCGTAATGGTGGCATGAGGGGTGGGGTTAGGCGCATACCGCTGCTGCCTAGGGACCGGCCTCTCTCCCGGCCCCGACCCGGGGCCGCCGCCTCCAGGTAGGGCGCTGGAAACCAGGCCATCTGCTGGTCCTCGTTCTCCACCAGCCACCAGCCTGTGCGCAAGAAGCGGGCGGGGACTCAGATCTCGAGCCTCCCTCGGGTCCAGGGGCAGAGGGACAAATCCCTGGGTTATTGGCGGGCGCTACCTGAGGGGTGCCGCAGCAGCACGTCCAGGCTCTCCTGGGCCCGCGCCTGAAAAGGCCGATTCCGCGTATCCTGGGTACAGAAGGGCTGCAGGCAGCGCAGGCTCTGAGTCTCCAGACTGTGGATGGAGAGGCGGCCCGCAGCGCGCGAGACAGGCGGCTCCTCTGGGGCGGGCAGGATCACTCGGCTGGGAAGGGCAGCCCGCACGAGTGAGAGGTAGGCGGATGGGGAGGGTGAAACCGGAGGCGCCACCCGGCAAGACCGTCAGCCTCCCAGTGTCTGCCCCTATTCGCTGGCTGTTCCCCCCACCCTACACCTCTCCCAGCTCCAAACGCCGCCGCAGGCTGGGAGTTTGGGACGAGTCAGGCACCTGCCGGGTGGCAGCGCGGGCTCCAGGTCCACGGGTTGCGGTGCGAAGAAGCCAGTGATCGCCGGGCTCCGTGCCACACGCTCTGCAGTCGCCAGCAGCCTCCGAGAATAGGTTTCCAGCAGCTGCAGGCGCGCCAAGCCGCGGCTCGTGCGCCCCCCGTGTGCCAACAGTGGTGCATCTTAAGGCACCACAAAAACGTGCTGTGATACCCCGCTTTGGGCTTCACTGGTCCCTGGCGCCCCAGGCAAACCACCGCCTTCCCCGCCCCCATACCCAGGCTGGCCTGACCGAGAAGCTTTGGGAGAACGCGGTCAGATCTCCGCAGCAGGCCCGCCTCCACCGGGAAGGTCTCCTTGAGGGTCTTCTGAGGGCAGGAACGGGGGCATCGGTCTTCCAGAGCCCACTGTGCACCCTTGGGAGGGCGGGGTCCCTCACCCAGATGGCAGGGGCTGGGAGCTTCAACGGGGACGAAGGGCCTTCAGTGGGAGTCACTGATGGGAGGCAGTCCAGTGGGAGGCAGCCGGGTGGGGAAGCTGCCACCGTGGCATCAGGGTGGCCCAGGGTCACTCACCTTGAGCCGCCTGAATTCGTCCCAACTCCTGCGCACGAAGGTGTCACTGCCGTCTGACCAGCGCACACAGAAGGCAAAGGTCTGGGGGACAAAAAGTTGGGAGTGCCTTGGAGGTGTTGGTCCAGGCACCCCCTTCCTATGCCTTGGGGCCACTAGGGACCCAGCCAGGTCTTACTTGGAGCCTCTTGATCTGCACCAGGGCTGCTCCTTGCACTGAAACTGGGTATCGGGGGCCTGCCATGGCCGTGGCCTCCAGGCTGCAGACTCCTGAAATGGGTGAGGACCCTTCTGCCTCCCTGTGCTTGAGAGGGCTCTGGGGGACCCAGAAGACTGTCTGGGATAGAATCTGGCAACGCCTCAAGCCTGTGGGGTCCTTGTGGAGCCGCCCCAGCCTAGTCCTTTGCAGCTTTCTTGCTGTCTCCCAAGTCCACGATCTGGGGGCAGGAGCACAGGGATTGGGGGACTTCCAGGCAGAGCTGCTAGGAGGAAGAAGAATGAGCTTTCCAGCCCTGGAGGCGTGCAAGACTGAAGAAGGGGCGGAGGGTAGGCGGAACTGCTGCCTGGGGCCCTCCTGCCTGCCTCTGGCCACTGGAGGAGGGAGAAGGCAGGGCTAATCAAAGTGCTGCTTGTCCTGCCCACCTCTCTGGATTCCCCTGCTCTGTGAGGTAATTGCCCTGCTAGGGTGCGCCCAACAACTCTGTCTTTGAACTAGCCTGGGGATTTCTGTGCAGAACCAAGGCCTCAGTGCTGAAAGCTTTAAGTGTTTTGTCTGACTTAATCCTAATGCTGGAGGAAAGGTCTCTTAATGTCCCCAACTAATAGGCAAGGAAATGTGTGTTAAATGCGTAATTATTGTGAGCTTTTGTGTACATGCTGGGGGAGGGGCAGACCTCACATGCTGAACCCAGGGGTTCCCCTGCAGTGAGGAGACTTGGGGTAGGAGAAAGAGGGCCCATCTGTGCAGTCACTGGCACTTGTTGGGTGGGGGTGGAGGTCAGGGAAGTGGTCACTAGGGCTGTTTTGAGAACCACCTCTCAATTCATGATTTGCCGTGACTTACTGCAAACATGGCCTGGGCAGAGGCTCGCTCAGGTGCCCCACCTCTCTGGCTGCTTCCTTATAGTTCAGGCTTCGGAAGCCACATTCAACCCTGGCACACAGTGGTTCTTCCTGGTGCTGGGGTCACCAATTCTGTGTTGGGATGCCCCTACTCCAGCCCCTTCAGGGAGTGGTCAGCCTCTGGGGCATCCCTCCAGGAAGCTGCCCTGGCTGCAACAAAGGGCCTTTGTGTGTCTGTCCCACCAGCACTGGCTGAGGCCCTCAAGCTGTCCCTGGTCCTGGCATGGGCAATGAACACCTGCTCACATAGGGCTGATTTGCAGGGTGCCCCCAGCCAGCTGTCACCTTCTCCCTGATCTCAGCTGAGGGCCTAGCTGACCTGGTGGGGTCCAGCGTGTGAACCCAGGGGAGACCTTGCTCCCCTGGAAGACAGGAGAGAAGCTGGGGAGGATTTATTCAAAAGCAGAAGCCTAGAGGGATTCTGAGGCTGCCTCCCCACCCCAGCTGACAGCCCCTGCCCCACACCCCATCAGCCCTGCATGGTTTCCAGTTTTTCCTCCCCTACCCTTTTTTCTTACCTGAATAGTACAGCCACCCCACCCTCCATCCGTATCCTCCTCACTTGCCCCTACAAAATTCACTCCAAGGACAGACACACCTGTAATCCAAGCACTTTGGGAGGCCGAGGCAGGGGGACTGCTTGAGCTCAGGAGTTCGAGACCAGTCTGGGCAACATGTTGAGACCTCTATCTATGCCCCCACAAAATACAAATATTAACTGGGTATGGTGGCGTGTGCCTGTAGTCCCAGCTACTTGGGAGGCTGAGGTGGGAGATCACTTGAGACTAAGCAGTCACAGCTATAATGAACAAGATCGTGCCACTGCACTCCACCCTGGGTAACGGAACAAGACCCTGTCTCAAAAAAAAAAAAAAAAAAAAAAAAAAATCCACTCTCCATATGATAGCCAGAGGAATCTGCAGCAAACTGAAATGGGATCAGATTGAGTAGCCTTGCCCAAAACTGTCTAGCATCTTCCCCCTACCCTCATAATAAACTCCCAATCCCCGCAGCTGCTGACTAAGTCTTGGTGGGTCCCTGCCCGTGCCTGGATCTCCCCTCCCACCTTACAACCCTCCCTAGCGTCCCACTGGCCTTTTTGTTCCTGCAAAATGCCAAGACCCTGCCACCTTGGGCTTGGTCTCGAAGGCGCTCCCCAGCTGATTCCTCATCCTTCAGATAGGAGGAGGTCTCAAAGAGGCCTTCCAGATTTACCACACCCTTGCATGGACCCACCAGTTTATACGTGAACATTTATGAGTGTGAGTCCTTGTTTTTTTTTCCTATCTTGACCACTGAATTATGAACAGAGGAGGTCAGGGAACAGAGCTGTGTTCCCTGCTCTGCCCAGCACCTGGAACAGCGCTTGGAACAGAGCAGTCACTGCACAAATAACAGCGGAATGGATAAATGAACGCAAGGAGGCAGAGGAATCGCAGAGGCCGCTCCAACTGGGAGCCCGACCCCTCACCCCAGGTTCTAGGGTCCGCGGCAGCCGGCGGGGGGCGCCGGGGAGCCCAAGGCACGCGCCAGCCCTCTGCGGCCGCGCCCCGCCCTGCGTTGCCAGGCGTCCGTTGCCATGGCGCCAGGGCGGTGACACCAGCCCAGAACCCTAGCGCGCGCCGCCATCTGTGCGGTCACGCCCGCCCCGCGTTGAGAAGGCGCTGGGCAGCCAGCCGGTGGGACGCGCCCCTCAGCGGAGGGCACAGAGCCTGGCCGCAGGCACGCAGGACACTCAGAGCGGAGCGATGGGGGCGTCGCGGGCCGCAACATGGACTTTGCCTGAGTGTCAGCCCGGGTCCACAGCGCGCCCGCGGCGCACCTTCCGCTGCGCACCTTCCGCCACACACTGCTCTTCTACTGGAGGAAGCGAGAGCGCCGCCACGGACGGCGCAACCACGGTGTGCGCCGCGGATCGAGGCCCGGGGGTGCCAGCAGGCTCCGGCCCTCCAGCTCCGTCCCTGCCCCTGGCCTCGGGCCCGGCCCCGCCCCGGTCCGCGCCGCTGCCTCTGGCTCCGCCTCCACACGGGCCCGCGCGCCGGCCCCCGCCCCCAACTCCGCCCCAAGCCCCAGCTCGGGCCCGGCCCCCGCGAGCACGGCGCGCGCCTCCGGCTACTGTAGCTGCGCGCTGGCCTGGAAGCTGACCTGGAGGCTCATCTGGAGGCCGAGCTGGCCCGGCAGGCCTTGCGCGGGCAACATGGCGGCGCCCGGCGAGCGGGGCAGCTTCCACGGCCGGAATCTCTTCTTCCTGCCGGGAGGCGCGCGCTCCGAGGTGATGGACGACCTGGCGACCGACGCGCGGGGCCGCGGCGCGGGGCGGAGAGACGCGGCCACCTCGGCCCCGACGCCAGCCCAGGCGCCGACCTCCGAGTCTCCTGTCGCCGTGGACGCCTCCCGGAGGCGGCCGTGCCGGGCCTGCGTGGACTTCAAGACGTGGATGCGGACGCAGCAGAAGGTGCAGATCCCTGCCCGACTTCTCCCAGCCCCGCGCAGCCCCTGCCCCTGCCCCCGCCCAGGTGCCCCGGCATAGCTCCCCGGGGTTGCCTGTCCCTGAACCTTGCTCCCGGGTAAGCCCGGCCTTACAGCCTTCATCTGCGCGTGGGTTGGATCGTCTGCAGGGCTTTGGCCGGAGTCCAGTGGGCCACCGGCTGGGCCGTAGAAGGGGGAGCTTTGGGCGCTTCTGTTCGGAGAATGAACTCACTCTTGGTTGGCCTGCTTCCGCAGCGGGACACCAAGTTTAGGGAGGACTGCCCGCCGGATCGCGAGGAACTGGGCCGCCACAGCTGGGCTGTTCTCCACACCCTGGCCGCCTACTACCCCGACCTGCCCACCCCAGAACAGCAGCAAGACATGGCCCACTTCATACATTTATTTTCTAAGTTTTACCCCTGTGAGGAGTGTGCTGAAGACCTAAGGAAAAGGTAAGATGTGTTTGCACGCGGCAGAGCTTTGCACTGCAGCCTGGGCCTGGGGCTCCTGGCTGACGTAATAGCGGGAAACATAGAGAAACGGATGCAGAGGTGGCAGAAGTTTGCTGAGGAGCAGGGACCTCCAACAGGTGAGGCCTGGGGCCATCTGAGCCTCCTCGTCTTGTCTCAGAAGCCAAACTGTTGGGATCTGCTGCTGAGTACTGCTCCTGCCACAGCCACAGGACTCCAGGAAGGGCTTCCCTGCCTTGTCTGGCACTGAAGACGGCTCCCCGCAAGTTAGGGAGGACTCCACTTTGCCTGACTTCTAGAGCAGGACTGCTGGTTTTAAAATCTTGGAAATCCACTGCTTTTGCCCCCAAGAGCCACCTCTTCCTCACTGAGGCATCCAAGAGCCAGCACTGGCCCTTGCGGGTGTTTCTAGACCAGATGTCTAGGGCAGAGTTGCCATTGTTGCTGTAAGCCTGGGCAGTTAGAATTAAGTCTCTTGCTGAACTGAGGCACCAGAGCCTCCCTCAGGTGCTAAGAAACAAGTCCAGTTTTCAGTTACAAGGCTGTGCCCAGCCCCACCCAGGCCACACTCTGCCTGAGGCCAGAGACGCTGGATGCCGCTTCTTGGGTGTTAGAAGCTTATAAATTTGCCAGGTCTGTGCTGTGATGTCTTGCCTTGAGGCCTCGTTGGAGTTTGCCAAGCTCTCCAGGTGGGTGTTTGAGCAACCCTGGGAGTTCATCACACCCGGGAGCTGCAGGGTCAGCCCTGTTCTGGGAATTCCTGTCCCTTGGAGCATAAGGGCACTCCCAGGTGTAGCTCACAGCAGTGCCCCAGTTGTCTTTCCTTGGGAGCAGACAGGGAACTGGCAGGGGCAGTGGAGCCTCTGCGTCCTCCCATTCTTTACATGCTCTCCCTATGCAGGCTGTGCAGGAACCAGCCAGACACCCGCACTCGGGCAGGCTTCACGCAGTGGCTGTGCCACCTGCACAATGAAGTGAACCGCAAGCTGGGCAAGCCTGACTTCGACTGCTCAAAAGTGGATGAGCGCTGGCGCGACGGCTGGAAGGATGGCTCCTGTGACTAGAGGGTGGTCAGCCAGAGCCCATGGGACAGCGAGCCAGGCGCCTATGGAGTGGCCTGGTTGGAGAGGGGCAGGGCACTCATTAAAGTGCATCAGAGCCAGAGCCTGTTGTGTCTCAGTTGGGTGGTCCCCAGGACACTGCCCGTGGGGACCTGCCCTGCCCCTGTTAGGTTTGGAGCAGAAGTGCAGGTGCGCACAGCAGGCACCCACTGGCCTCCTCCTCAGTGGAGGCCCCAAGGAGCTGCAGCTGAACTGCAGGTGAGGGAGGCAGGAGCAGCCTGGGCTGCCCCTTGGCATTCAGGATGTGGCTTCCTGCCCACCGCATACCCTGGTGCCTCGCTCCTCACACAGGAAGACAGCAGGCCTGGCTGGGCGTCCCTGTGCCTGTTCCTGGAGGCCAGGCCTTTGCCTTCCCGCTATGCAGCCAGGGATGCCCCTGCCCCCCGTGGCTCTGTGCTGCTCACTTTAGGGGGCTCAGTTCTCCACTCTGCTCAGTCCCTACAGGGAAAGCTCAGGCAGGGTCTTTCTGAGGGTCCACCAGCCATCCTGCCCTCTCCCTGCCTGGCACATGCCTGCCAGCGTTGTGCCATGCCTGTCCACAGGGGATTCGTGGGGCCCGCTTCCTCAGAGTTTGAAGCCCAAATGAAACGTTGAAGTGACTGAGGACCTGGCTTCAGTGTGTTTTCTGCTGGGGCTTATAGCAGTGGGCAGGGCTTGTTCCATCCCTGTGTGCCCAGCTGCATTTCCTGCTCGGGTCCTCGTTCCTCAGGAGGAGAGAGATCCCTACATGAGAATGAGCTGGGAACAGCAAGGACGCTGATTGGTTGGGGCGGGGAGGCCAGAGTAGCTGATGCAGGGGCCCCAGGAGTACAGGGTGGCCAGACAGCACGAGGTCTCCAAGGCCCCAGCAGAGCCATGGCTTCTACTCCCAGCTCCCCTGACAGGAAGTTCCTGGTGGGTTTGGAGCCAGGGGATGGCATGGAGTGATGTGGCTTTGAAGGGTCCTCTGGCTGCTGAGCTGGGATGAGGCAGGGAAGGGTGGAACAGGAAGACTGGTGAGGAAGCCGGGGCAGTCACCAAGTGACCACTGAGAGGAATACCCACCCCACGGCAGGGGCAGATGTGGGTACATTAAGGGGAGAGCCAGAGAACTCATGGGGTGAGGATGGAGTCGGAGGAGACTGCTGGGAGCTGCCGTGTGTGTCGCAGATGGAGAAGGCTGTGAGTGCAGCAAGTTGAGGGGTGACTGGGACCCAGCTTTTGAGCCTCCCCAGCCAGAGCGGCCCACAGTGTCCTGTGGCCATAAAACTCCAGGGACCTCTATCCTCCAGGAGTCTCAGCTTTTCCCTGGGCGCAGGCCCACCTTGGCATGGCCTCCTCAGGCCTGTGTGGAGGAAGCTGACATGTCCCCACCAGATTGGCCCTTTGGAGCTGCTGGCTTCTGTAGAGGCTGCCCAGAGGGGCCAGGTGGCACAAATGAGAGAGGGGAGATGGGGGGCAGCCAGGAGAGAAGGTGTCCCTTCCTCGCCCAGACATAGCGCTTCTCTCTGGCCTTTCCCAAGGCCTGTGAGTGTCTCAGGAACCAGCTGGTTCTCTGGTAAGGCTGTGTTCAGCTCAGGAACATACCGCCTGTATCTGCTGTCCCTCCTGCCCCCCGCCCCCTCCCCGCCTTGCCTTTTTCCCTGTCTTCCGTAAAGTTTCACTCCTGAATAAAACTTCACTTTGCCTTAGAATCTGTTTTTTTTTTTTTTTTTTTTTTGTGTTGAGACAGAGTCTAGCTCTGTCGCCCAGGCTGGAGTGCGGTGGAGAAATCTCGGCTCACTGCAACCTCCATCTGCTGGGTTCAAGCAATTTCTCCTGCCTCAGCCTTCCGAGCAGCTGGGATTACAAGCGCCCGCCACCATGCCTTACTAATTTTTGTGTTTTTAGTAGAGACGGGGTTTCACTGTGTTGGCCAGGCTGGTTTTGAACTCCTGACCTCATGATCCGCCCGCCTCAGCCTCCCAAGATGCTGGGATTACAAGCGTGAGCCACCGCACCAGGCCAGAGTCTGTTTTTTTGGGGCATCCAGGCCAGTGGAACTCTAGTGCAAGAAAAACACCAGCTCTGGCTTGAGCCTGGTGTTCCAGAGCTGTTGACACGCAGACCAAAGGAGCCAGCCCAGAGGGAGGAGGGACCCCAGCAGGATGGTGCCCTGGGCTCCTAAGGCTCACAGGTCACAGAGGAGGGACCTATGAGGTAAGAGGAATACCAGGAGGGAGGAGGACCTCCAAGTGGGGCACAGTGGCTCATGCCTGTAATCCCAGCACTTTGGGAAACCGAGGCGGGCAAATCGCTTGTGGTCAGGAGTTCGAGACCAGCCTGGTCAACATGGCGAAACCTCGTCTCTACTAAAAATACAAAAAAAAAAAAATTAGCTGGGTGTGGTGGTGCACCTGTAATCCCAGCTACTCCAGTGGCTGAGGCAGGAGAATCGCTTGAGCCCATGAGGCAAAGGTTGCAGTGAGCCAAGATTGCACCACTGCACTCCAGCCTGGGTGACAGAGTGCGACTCTTAAAAAACCAGAATTGAGCTGACAGCAGCATCAGACTTGCCCTTGGGATTGGCATGGAGGTCAGCGTAGGGTCCAGCCCCACAGGGTCGGTGGGTTTTCCTCCCCATGTGCCGAGATGAGCGATTATAGAAATAAAGACACAAGACAGAGATAAAAGACAGCTGGGCCCGGGGGACCACTACCACTAAGACGCAGAGACTGGCAGTGGCCCCGAATGCCAGGCTGCGCTGATATTTATTGGATACAAGACAAAGGGGCGGCCGGGCGCGGTGGCTCAAGCCTGTAATCCCAGCACTTTGGGAGGCCGAGACGGGCGGATCACGAGGTCTGGAGATCGAGGGCTAACACAGTGAAACCCCGTCTCTAACTAAAAAAACAAAAAATACCGGGCGAGGTGGCCGGTGCCTGTAGTCCAGCTTGCTCAGATGCTGAGGCAAGGAGAAGCGCATAACCCCGGGAGCGAGTTTGCCGTGAGGCTGAGATCGGGCCCACTGCACTTCCAGCCTGGGCGAAGAAGCAAGACCTCCGCTCAAAAAAAAAAAAAAGAAAAAGGGGCAGGGCAAGGAGTGTGAGCCATCTCCAATGATAGGTAAGGTCACGTGGGTCATGTGTCCGCTGGACAGAGGGCCCTTCCCTGCCTGGCAGCCGAGGCAAGCGGAGGGAGAGAGAAGAGACAGCTTATGCCATTATTTCCACATATCCGAGACTTTTAGTACTTTCACTAATTTACTACTGTTATCTAAAAGGCAGAGCCAGGTGTACAGGATGGAACATAAAAGCGGACCACGAGCGTGACCGCTGAAGCACAGCATCACAGGGAGACGGTTAGGCCTCCAGATAACTGCGGGCGGGCCTGACATCAGTCAGGCCCTTCACAACAGGTGGAGGATTAGAGGCTTCTCTAAACTCCCCCAGGGAAGGGGAGACTCCCTTTCCCAGTCTGCTAAGTAGCAGGTGCTTTTCCTTGATACTGACGCTACCGCTAGACCATGGTCAGTTAGGTCCATTTGGTAACGGGTGTCTTCCCAGACGCTGGCGTTACTGCTAGACCAAGGAGCCCTCTGGTGGCCCTGCCTGGGCATAACAGAAGGCTCACACTCTTGTCTTCTGGTCACTTCTCACCATGTCCCTTCAGCTCCTATCTCTCTATGGCCTGGCTTTTCCTAGGGTATGATTGTAGAGCGAGGATTATTATAATATTAGAATAAAGAGTAATTGCTGCAAACTAATGATTAATGATATATATAATCATATCTATGATCTAGATCTAGTAAACGTCTTATGTTATGTATTTGATTATACTGAAACAGCTCACGCCCTCGGTCTCTTGCTTGGGCACCTGGGTGGCTTGCCGCCCACAGGTCAGTGGCAACCTTGAGTTTAGGTGCCGGTGGGAGCCGATTCTGCCAGGTCTCAGAGGGAGGGAGAGGAGGGTGTTGCAGGCAGAGGATGGAAAACTCGAGTTTGCTGCTAAAGGAAGCAGTAACGTGAGGCAGCTGGAGGGGAGGCGGGGTCAATACTGTTTGGCTTTTTAGGAGAAAGTGCAGCATGTCTGGGTGCTGATGTCAGCGATGAAGTAAAGGAGGGGAATGGATGACACAGAGGGGCAGTCTGGGGGACGGGTGAAAGGGGTTGGGGTCGAACGCACAGTGTGATGGAGTTGGAACACAGTGAGTAGCGCCTCTGGCAACACCTGCTCTGCCCACGTGTGCCCAGCAAGACTGAAGAAAGAGCTCCAGACCAGAATCAATGAGTTCCGGGGGGCTGGGCCAGGCAGCACCATCTGTGCCCCGGGTTGGTGTAGCAGGGACCTGGGTTGCTTATTATCTGAGGAACGGTGGCAACAGTCTCTGCCACTATACAGGTAAAGCACTTTGCGCTGTAAATGCTCAGTCAGTGCAGATATCTCAGTGCTCTAGACAGAAACCTAGGAGTCATCTGAACTTCCAGCCTGGTAGGAACGTGAGGAGAGGGACCTTGTTGCACCCAGGGCTGGGGTCTGTGGAGGGGACCCAGCGGGAAGCAGGGCAGCCAGGCACCACCCCCACCCGACTCCTGGTCTCTGATGCCTCTCCCTGCCCTCGAGTCCAGACTAGGGGCTTCAAGTGCGCTGGGGAGACCCAGGAGTAGGGAGGGCATTGGAAGTGCCAGCCCCTGGCCGTGGGCAAGGAGCAGAGACACGGAAACCAACACTCCCAATGGCACTCGCCACGGTGCCTCTGCCCCCTCCCTCAACAGGTGCTCCTGGGGCCAACGCCTATCTTCCCACCAGACCCTCCCCGCCAGAGGCTAAAACCTGCTGAACGAGCAGCTAGAGCACAGTGGGGGCCCATGGGAAAGACCCCAGTTATCCATCTGGTCTTCCTAGGACCAGGGCCAGGGAGCCAGTCCCCTCTCCCGTGGGTTGGGGGAAGATGCTGCAGCCCGTGGGTCTCCTACCCCTTTACTCTCTCACCCAAGGGCCCTTCGCAGAGGAGCGGACTCCTCCTGTCTGTCCTCCTGGCTACAGCAAAGTCTGCGCCCAGCGCCCGCGCCCCACCCAGCCCCATGGGGACCTGGCTGGCGGTTTCCTGAGGACGGCCTCGATCTCGGGACCGGGGCAGGCAGGTGAGGGTGGGGGATGGGAAGCGGGCGCGGCGGAGGGAGAGGAGGGACCCGGCCCCGCGCGCGTGGACCCAGTGGGGGGCGCGGGCTCGGCCCCGCCCCATCCCGCGCGTCCCCGCCGCGGCCGGCGCGCGCTCCCGGGAGGCGGCGGCGGCTGCAGCGTCGGTAGCATCAGCATCAGCATCAGCATCAGCATCAGCGGCAGCGGCCTCGGGCGGGGCCGGCCGGACGGACAGGCGGACAGAAGGCGCCGGGGGACGGCGTCCCGCCCGGGCCGGCCATGGAGGGCGCCTCCTTCGGCGCGGGCCGCGCGGGGGCTGCCCTGGACCCCGTGAGCTTTGCACGGCGGCCCCAGACCCTGCTCCGGGTGGCGTCCTGGGTGAGTGGTCCCTGCCCGGGCTCCCGCTCCCGCCCCTGCCTCACGACCTTCAGGCCCCTACCCACCCCCTGCCACCTTCCCCCTGCCCCCTGCTTCTCGCCCCGCAACCCACTCACTCTCATCCTCGCCGGCCCCTCCCCCGCCGGCCTCAGGTTGGGGTGACGTCACCGGGCAGGGCGCGCCCACCTGCGGGCGGGGGAGGGGCCGGCGGCGCCGGAGAGACCTTGAGAGGTCACCGCCGGTCGCCCCTACCCCTACCTCCTCCCCGGGTCTAATTCCAGTCCCTTTCCGCAGCCCTCACTCCGTTTTTCCTGTTCTCGTGACCTGGAAGCAGGCACCGGGTGGGGACGGGATTCGCCTAGGGGCAGAGGGAGGGGGCTACGGGAATCGAGAGACCGGGCAGCGCCTCCCCTTCCCCCGCACACACACCCTCGGGGCTCCTTGGCAGGGAGCCTGGCCCCTGGCCCCCAGATCCAGCTGTGAGCTGAGGGAGGAGAGGCTCTGGTCTGGGAGGGCTTCCTGGAGGTGGTGTGGGAGGCAGGTTTGGGGGCAGCCTTGCCCACTGGGGCGTCCCTGGGAGGGCCCTGCTGCTCCTTCCCTCCGGCAAGGGAAGTGGCAGTTGGGTGCCGAGCTCTGGGTTTTGTCCAGGTGGCAACCTCTGGGGCAGCCGCACCTTGGCGCCTGTCTTGGAGGAGGGCGGTGCCCATGGTGGGGCAGGGGGCTTTGGCCTCCCCTGCGGAGTGGCTCTGACCAGACCGGGAGGCAGGACGCTGCGTTTTGGTCCGAGCCCATGTACCGACTTGTGGCCCACTCTTGGGGGGACAAGTGCATGTCCCGGCTTCCCCCTCGGCTTGGTCTCTCGGAGCTGGTGCGGGAAAGGAGCGAAGGGATGAGGTTGAGGCTGGAGATCTTTTCTTGGAAACACAGGGCTGCCCCATGCAGCCCTGGTTAAAATGACCGCGGTCCCCCTCATGCCTGTCTCCCGGAACTGGTGGGCAGGAGGCATTGAGATCTGACGGAACCCTAGAGGTCAACGGTGTCATCTTTTCAGCCCAAACACTTACAGGTGATAATAATCAGTCACGTGGGGGCCGTCATCCCTCCGGTACTCACCGCGTGCAGGAAGCTGGGTGGACGTCTCTGTCCCAGCACTCCATGAGCTGTGCCCGTCACCCTATTTGCATGCTAGAAACAGGCCAGACAGTTCCCAATCGCGCAGGGCGCAACAGCCCCGCTGCCCCCATACCTTCCCGCCCGCCCTGCTCTGCCTGCTCCACTCTCACCTCCCCTTCGCCCTGCCGGCTGCAGCCTGGGAATCGCGGGCCCAGGTGAAGGTTCCTGTTCCCACAGTCTTGAGTGGGCCCTGAGGGGACGCCACGGGCCCACGCGGTGCAGAGTGCCTGGCTTGCATCAGCCCCAGCTTTTGTCAGCCATGTGATCCCGACAAGTCACTTCACCTGCTGGAGCCCCAGTGTCCCCTTTTATAAAGAGGATAAGAACAATGGCGATCCCACGGGGACTTTCCCAGGATTTGGTGAGGGAACGCATGTAAAGTGGCTGTTTAACACAATGCCTGGGCATAGTAGATGCTCACTAAACGGCCCGTGTTGTCAATAATTACTGAATACGCGGGGGTTTGGGAAAGGAAGAGATGACACTGCCCCCCATCCAGATACGGGCCTGGGAACGCAGGGATAGGCCCGGGGGCGTGGGCGCTCGCAGTGGGCTCGCAGAGGTCGGGTCGCTGCAGGGCCCTGAGCGCCGCGCCGCACGCAGGTGTTCTCCATCGCCGTCTTCGGGCCCATCGTCAACGAGGGCTACGTGAACACCGACAGCGGCCCCGAGCTGCGCTGCGTGTTCAACGGGAATGCGGGCGCCTGCCGCTTCGGCGTCGCACTGGGCCTCGGAGCCTTCCTCGCCTGCGCCGCCTTCCTGTTGCTCGATGTGCGCTTCCAGCAGATCAGCAGCGTCCGCGACCGCCGGCGCGCTGTGTTGCTGGACCTGGGCTTCTCAGGTGGGCGGGGCCGGGACGAGGAGCCGAGGGATGGGGCGGGGCCTGAGGCGGCGAGCGTCGACGCACCTCCCGGGTGGGCGGGGAGGGGGCGGGGCCCGGGCGGGGAACACCGCTGGAGTTCCTAGGTGGGCGGGGCCGTGACGAGGGGCGGGGACTGAGGCAGGGAGTGTCAACAGGCCTCTCGGGTGGGCGGGGCGGGGCGGAGCCTGGACGGGCAGCGCCGCGGGACTTTCTAGGTGGGCGGGGCCGGGGTCTAGGCGGAGCCTGGGCGAGGAACGCCGCTGGCGCTCCCGGGTGGGCGTGGTCAGCGTAGAGGGAGGCGGGGCCTCGCGCCACGCGGCGAGCCCAGGTGGGGTGCCCCAAGCCTCGGGCCCACCGACCCTTCCTCTTCCGGGCGAGGCCGCCGTGGGCCCCCGCGTGGAACGTCGCCCTAACCCTCCGCACTGCCCGCAGGACTCTGGTCCTTCCTGTGGTTCGTGGGCTTCTGCTTCCTCACCAATCAGTGGCAGCGCACGGCGCCAGGGCCTGCCACGACGCAGGCGGGGGACGCGGCGCGGGCCGCCATCGCCTTCAGCTTCTTCTCCATCCTCAGCTGGGTGAGTGCGGGGCCCGGGAGGGCGGGGCGAAAGGGCCGGCGCTCGGCTGATCCCGGCTGACCCCGCTGGCCCCGCCTGCGTGCAGGTGGCGCTCACCGTGAAGGCCCTGCAGCGGTTCCGCCTGGGCACCGACATGTCACTCTTCGCCACCGAACAACTGAGCGCTGGGGCGAGCCAGGCCTACCCCGGCTATCCGGTGGGCAGCGGCGTAGAGGGCACCGAGACCTACCAGAGCCCGCCCTTCACCGAGACCCTGGACACCAGCCCCAAAGGGTACCAAGTGCCCGCCTACTAGCGGCTGGCAGGCACAGACCAGGGCTCCAAGGCCACCCCACCAACGCAGGCCCCAGGATCTCCGGGACCTCCCTTGGGTTCTTCCAGCTCAGCGCCAGGGACAGAGTGGGTGGCCGCCTTGGGCCATCCGGGGCCAAGAGGGGGTGGACCCTCGCGTGCCCGGGCTGCCCCCTGCCAAGTTTCCCCAGTCCCTCAGCACCTGGCCCCAGGACTAAGGTCCTGAGAAAGGGATAGCACTGCCCAGGATGTGTGTCCCTAGCCCAGAATGGACTGGCTTGGGGAAGGCATTCCCTCTTGGGCCAGCCACCCTGCAGCTCACCTGCTCACTCCGGGGTCGGGGGTTCAGCTGCCCTCTCCGATCAGCTGCAGGAGCTGCCCAGGACAAAGAGAGGGCAGGGGAAAGACACCACCCCCGCCCCGAGACTGGGGATCCTGGCCACTGTTCTCATCCCGTATTCCTGTGGGTAGTGACTGTCCCGTTTCTGTCATGGTGGTGCGTTCCGTCTGGAGCCACTCTCCACTTTCTCTCACAGGCTCCTAGAACAGCCTGGCCCTGTCAGTGTTGTGATCGTGGTCCAGTCTTCAGGTTTCACCTCCTAGTACCCCACAAGCTGCTCCTCTGTCTGTGGCCCCGGCCCCTGCCCAGGTGTGGGTGGTTCTGGCCAGGAAGGCACAAGGTAGCTGTGGGCCAAGACACCAGCCCTGTCCCAGCCCTTCAGTAAGACCTTGCCAGGGGAGGAGAAGGATGCTTGGGTGCCAGGCAAGACAAGCCCCTCAGCAGGAGACAGGCCCAGAGGCTCCAGCTGGCCACCGTGTCCCACGAGATGGCCCCTGTGCAGTTCCCTTTACCTTGGCTTCCTGGACCAGTCCCTGCCTCTCCACCTGCACCCTGCTTCCTGGCCCAGTCCCAGGTTGGAGTCCCTCTGCGTAGCTGACTACTCATGCATTGCTCAAAGCTGGCTTTTCACATTAAGTCAACACCAAAGGTGGTTGCCACATTTCGTCAGATAGACAGACACCTCCCTCTGGAGTTGCAGTTGAGTGACAACCTTGTTACATTGTAGCCTAGACCAATTCTGTGTGGATATTTAAGTGAACATGTTTACAATTTTTGTATATATCACACTCTCTCTCCCTCTCTTGAAAGACCAGAGATTGTGTATTTTCAGTGTCCCATGTTCCGACTGCAACTTCGTTACAATAAAGACTGTAACTGAGCTGACTGTGACCTGGAAGCTCCTGGAATCATTTCTAACCCTTCCCTTCCTGGTGCCAGGGATTGGGATCTGAGAGGCACCAGGGTCCCACAGGAGGGGACAGGGAGGTAGAGGCCAGGCTGACCCCCAGACTCTGGAGGCTCCAGGTCCATAGATCCCCACCACCACATATCACACTAGTCTGGTTCTCTGAAATGCTGGGGAGACCCCTTGTTTGTTTTTTGTTGTTTTTGTTTTTGAGATGGAGTCTCGCTCTGTCACCCAAGCTGGACAGTGCAGTGGCGCCATCTCAGCTCACTGCAACCTCTGCCTCCCGGGTTCAAGCAGTTCTCCTGCCTCAGCCTCCAGAGTAGCTGGGACTACAGGCACCCACCACCATGCCCGGCTAATTTTTGTATTTTTAGTAGAGGCAGGGTTTTGCCATGGTGGTCAGGCTGGTCTCAAACTCCTGACCTCAAGTGATCCACCCGCCTTGGTGTCTTTCAAAGTGCTGGGATTATAGGCATGAGCCACTGCACCTGGCCTGTTGTGTTGTTTGTTTGTTTGTTTTAGATGGAGTTTCGCTCTTATTGCCCAGGCTGGGGTGCAATGGCGTGATCTTGGCTCACCACAACCTCTGCCTCCCGGGTTCAAATGATTCTCCTGCCTCAGCCTCCGGAGTAGCTGGGATTATAGGCATGCACCACCATGCCCGGGTAATTTTGTATTTTTAGTAGAGATGGGTTTTCTCCATGATGGTCAGGCTGGTCTCAAACTCCTGACCTCAGGTGATCCACCCACCTCAGCCTCCCAAAGTGCTGGGATTACAGGCATGAGCCACCACACCCAGCCCAGAGTGAACCTGTTTGTTTTGTTTTTTGAGAAAATAAAAAAAAAAGATGCCTAGGCTAGAGTGCAGTGGCAAAATCTTGGCTCACTTCAACCTCTGGCTGACTGCAACATCCACTTCCCAGGCTCATGTGATCTTCCCCGCTCAGCCTCCTGAGAAGCTGGGACCACAGGCATGCGCCACCGTGCCCAGCTAATTTTAAAGTTTTTTGTAGAGATGGAGTCTCCTTATATTGCTTAGGTTGGTCTTGAACTCCTGAGCTCAAGTGATCCTCTCACCTTGGTCTCCTAAAATGCTGGGATTTCAGGCATAAGCCACTGCATCCCACCCTGATGACTTCACTCTTACGTCCTGGCATTCTAAGACGCTGATGAGAGTGATGCTAACGGTACCATTTGCATTGTTGATAAGTTATCTTGTTGGCAGTCATTTGTAGGGTTCGTTACTGTAAATCCTTGTCTAGGTAAGAATTTGTTATCGTTGATCCTGCTTGGTCCTTGATGGTTTGTTTTCTCTCTTGATGTTTGGGGGGAGCAGCCACAATTTCTCACATGTCCTCTTCTCGTCACCTTCTACTCCTGGGACTCCTGCAAGATTTGCTGTGGAGCCTCCAGCACTGGGTCCCGTTCCATGGCCTTCAAGTGGTCACACCCTTCCCTGCTTCTCACCGGTACCTTTTGCAGTTACATCCCCCAGCTTGGTGGTGTTTACTTTTTAACCCATCTATTGGGGTCTTTATCTCAATTACTTTTCATTCCTAGGATTTTTGAGACGGAATCTCACTGTCACCCAGACTGGAGTACCGTGGTGAGATCTCAGCTCACTGCAACCTCCACCTCCCAGGCTCAAGTGATTCTTATGTCTCAGCCTCCCGAGTAGCTGGGATTATAGGCATGCATATACTGTGTAAGGCGATGTGGAGCGGTTGCGAGGCAGGCGTGTTCACAGTCAGACGGAATGGGTGCCGCATATGTCCGTCAGTCTTGCTCCTGTCTTTAAGATAGTCAGTTGTGGTTTAGGCAAGGGGGCGGGTGGCTCATGCTTGTTGAATCCCAACAGTCGGGGTGAGGCTGAGGCGGCCAGAGCAGCCTGAGGTCAGGAGGTCCGAACAGACCAGTCTGACGACATTGGGAGGCACACCCCGTCTCTTACGTAGAACAATACAAAAAGGAGATTCTACTAGAAAGTACAAAAAAATTAGCCAGGCTGGTGTGCGGCAGCGTTAATCCCAGCTAGCTCCATGGAGGCTCAACGAGGAGAATCTGGGAACCTTAGGAAGGCGGAGGTGTTGTGGTGAGCCAGATGCGCGCCATTCCCACTCCAGCCTGGGCAACGAAGGGGTGCGAAGATCCGATTCAAAAAAAGAGAAAAAAGAGTCATTTTGTGCCAAAGCACCAGTCGTATTCCTGTGAACTCTAGCACTTTGGAGGCCGAGGCAGGAGGATGCTTGAGCCCAGTCGAGGTCAAGGCCAGCCTCGGCCCACATAGCAAGGGACCTCTTTATCAAAAATATATTTTGCTGGCCGGTGCGCGGGGTGGCGCGCAGGCCGGTAATCCAGCACGTTTTTTGGTGAGGTCCTGATTGTGCGGTTCTTGTGGTGGTGTGGATCACGGGAGTTGTGTCAGGAGATCGAGATCTTATTCGCTGTGTTCTTTATTATCTATATTGTTGAACCCCGTCTCGTACTTAAAAATACAAAAATACTTAGTCTGTGGCTGTGGTGGCCGGCGCCTGTAGTCCCAGCCACTCGAGGCTGAGGGGCAGGGAGAATGGCGTGGAACGCTGGGAGGCGGAGCTTGCAGTTGAGCGGAGATCGGCCACGGCACTCCAGTCCTGTGGACACAGCGCGAGACTCCGTCGTCAAGAAAAAAAAAAGAAAGAAAAAAATATTTAGCTA